GCATTCGGCTGCTAACCAAAAGGTCAGCAGTTCGAATGAACCAGCCTCTCCGTGGAAAAAAGATGTGGCAGTCTGCTTCCATAAAGATTTACAGCCTTGGAAACCCTATTGGCAGTTCTACTCTGTACTATAGTGTCGCTATGAATCAGAATAGACTCAAGGGCAATGGGTTTTTAGCATATTACTGTCCCCTAAAGTCATTACATTACTCTTGCCTGTACTGTTCCATTCTGCCAATTGTCAGCTCATTCACAAAGCTTTCTTTGGTGTTGCAGTATTCCTATCAGCATTTCACATACCCAAAGAGCTTACTGTTATCTATAGATATGGAGATTTCACTGTGTCCATATCCTCCCCCAGATCACATACAAATATTTAAAATAAGATCAGTTCCTGAATGCATGTGAGAGGGTGGACTTCTGTTTTGTTTCTTGTCTAAGATGGTTTCTTACTAGGAATAAAAATGTTACCATGTCTTCTCCCGCATATCTAGGGAGCACCACTGCTGTGCATTGCTCAAGAGTGCTTTCCTTTTAGATAAAAAGAAGTGGCTATATATTTAAAGAACAGACACATGTTATCTCAAAATGGCTACTAAGAACCTGACATGTATCCCAAGCAGCAGTTCTCTTTGGAATGACAAACATTTCTTCAGATTCAATTGCAACAAACATATACTAGAAGTATTCTTGCTACAAATGACATTTGTTATTCACCACAAATGAACCTTACAATGAGCACATAATATAGAACTCTTGCAAACAGATAACATTCAGACTCAAATCTAATAATTCATGAGAGGAAATATAAGCTAACAATTAACATTTGAGAGTCCAACCTCACCAAATCTGAGAGAAATGTACATAATATGTGTACCATTCTTTTACATATAAAGTTAGCAAAAAAAAAAAAAAAAAAAAGACTTTTTTAAAGTACCTAAATGACAGGGTGCAAAAATTGACATCATTTTTTGGAAAACAATGATGTCAAGTTTTTATAACGTTCAAATCTTTTGACAAATGATTCTAACTCTGGAACTCTATTCTATAAAGAAATAACCCAAAATGGATAAATAATGAGTATATTCATCACATAATTTAAAATACCAAAAACCTGGAAAATACTTCCATACAATAGAATATCATAAAACCATTAAATGACAATTACAAAGAATGTTTAACATGGGAAAATGCCTGTTATAAGGTAAACAAAATAAACAAAATGCAATATAAAGTAGTGTATATATATAGATATATACTCAACTATGTAGAAACATGCACAGAATGAAAATGAGTTAACAAATTTGTTAAGACTGCTTTTATCTCTGGGTGGTGGAATTATGGATCTTTTTTCCTCATACTTGATGGTTATCCTCAGACAAAGCTACAATGAATATTTATCAAGTTTCTAGATTGAGGAAGCTTTACAAGCTTAAACAGTGGGAAAAAAATCACAGAACAGAAGACGGAGATCTGACCACATAATTTGAAATTTCTACTAACCAAAAATTTAAAAACCAAAATTAAAAGGCAAACAATAACCTGCAATAGATACTTATCATATATTACATAAGTCTGAGTAGTAGCTTTTATGTACAGAACACATTCAAATAGATGATGATAATAATAATCACTAAACTCCAACAGATAAATCAGTATATCAAATGACATCATATGAAAGAAAATAAAATTGATAAGAAATATTTGCAGGAAAAAAGAATCCAAAGTCACTAATAACCAAAGAAACTTAAAATTAAAATAATATTGTTTTTACTGGTTTGTTTTATCTATAAAATATTTAAAAAAAAAACACTACTCAGTGCTTGTGCAAAGTGTAAATTGGTACAACCTTTTTGGAAAGAAATCTGACAATATACATTGAGTACTAAAAATGTTCATACTCTTTGATGCAGTAATTCTACTTCAATGAATCTATCTTAAGGAAATAATAAAAGAAACACATATATTTTGAGTCTTTATTATAAGAAAAAAGGTAATAATAACCTTTCCTTTACTGTTGGACATTTAGATTATCCCATCAAAATATTAATAATGAGTAAAAAAAAAATCTCTATTTCAGCAAATGATTGGTTAACTCAAAGCTTCAGACAAGATTGCAAACCAGGCTAAAACAAGAGGGGTGTGTCCAGCCTGCAGTCGGCCATTTTAGACCATCTGCAGCTAAGCAAAAGGCATAGAAGTCAAGGGTAGATATTGATGGCCACCCCACTAGGCTCCAAACAACAATTCTTTACGGTTTGTCTTCTACATATGTAACCACTGAGTAAAAAGTAGCAAACAAAGCTTTCTCAAACAGCTTAGATAAATCACAAACAAAATTTGAAATCATAAAAGAAGTGCCCTTTAAACTTACCCCCCCACCACCATTTTCCCCATTTTAGGGAACAAAGCATAATCTTTAAGAGCACAGGAATCTGGAGCCATATATTACCTGGGTAAAAATCTAGTCTCAGCCATTCAACTGACTGTAAAGCCGTGGACAAATTACTTAACCTGTGTCCCTCAAATTTCTCATCTGTAAAAGATGAATAATGGTACTAAATAGAACCTATTTCATAAGGTTGTTGAGAATGTTAAATGAGTTAATGTATGTGTAAAAGCCAGTAGACAAGTACCTGGCACATTGTAAGCGCTACCCAAACCAAAAACAACAAACCCATTGCTGTTGAGTCAATTCTGACTCACAGCGACCCTATAGGACAGGGTAGAACTGCCCCCATAGAGTTTCCAAGGAGCGACTGGTGGATTCCAACTGCCGACCTTCTGGTTAGCTGCCATAGCTCTTAACCACTGCACTACCGGGGCTCCAGTAGGTGCTATAGACATTTTAAATGGTGCAGCTATTATTATAGATAGGGAAATAGGGCCAGAGAGGGAAAGGACCAGCATGAGGTCACAGCTAGGATTATTGGAAAAGACTTGCCCCCTACTTTTGAATCCTGTGCTCTTTCTGCCACATATCTAAGTGCTAAATTTTCTACTAGTTTTAGTGATTAATCATGGATCCTTACTGGCAACCCTGAGAAAGCCATGACAGTACAACTGCCTGAAGAAAAAGAAAGGAAAATTAAAAAAAAAAAAGAAATTCCAATCTTCCTCTGGAGGAAAGAGTGCAAGCCCAGATCATCTTCATATGATCATTACTATTAACTACTTTTCAATATCTCTCCATGCCAGTATGAATCCTAGGCAAACATTTGCACAAATTTCAGATTTAAAGCAAAGTGTAACAAACATTTGAGAACAAGGCCAAATCCTCAGTCCCTAGGTGGTGCAAACAGTTAACTGCACCCCAAAAGGTTGGTTCCATTCCAACCAGAGGCATCTCAGAAGAAAGGCCTCATGATCTACTTCTGAAAAATCACCTACTGAAAACCCTATGGGGCATATTTTTACTGTGGCACATGGGGTCGACATCAGTCTTAGTCAACTCCACAGCGACTAGTATATTCTCAGGGGAAGAAAAAGGCTTTCGAGCGTTTTTGGCCAACAGTAGATTCTCACAATACCGTGTTCTGCAACTTTGATGGGGTGATAGAACATGTCCAAAGCCAAGTACAACGACCCATGATCAGCACCCCAGACAGAGTCCTCCAAATGTATACTATCCAGATGTGGCCTGTCTTCAAGTGCCTCATTTTTATGCATGTCCTACACACAGCCAGCTGCCGCAACCTTTTATAGAGTCATCATTGCCTCCGCGTTTTTAAACTCAATTACCGATAAACCACTAAGAGGCCAATACTTAGGTTAATTTCTAGCGGATTTGGCCACAGCCTAAGACAACTCCAACTCAGGCTGATCCCTTAATCCATCTAGAAGAGTAGATCTGCTTCTCTGTAGGCCTTCCTAGCCCAATATTGCCAAGCAAAGAGTAAACAGCAGACAACTTACCTCCCCCCTCGCCATTCTGCAATCTCAATTACACACGCGCCGCGTGCCTCGCCTCCGCTCCCCTCCCCGTCATTCTGTCCGAAATACGCATGCGCACCTCTGCATCCCTACCGTTAAATACCCTAACCGCCACTATGTTGTCTCCAATACGCTTCTGTGCCTTCCTTCCCCCTCCCCACTGCTGGAGCCCCCTCCCTTCCAGGTCAACCAGTTGCCTTAAAGGGGATTCCGACTCGCAGCGACTCTATAGGACAGGGTACAACTGCCCCATAGGGTTTTCAAGGCTGTAATATTTACGGAAGCAGACTACTGCCGGCTGCCACATCTTTCTCCCGCAGAGTGGCTAGTGGGTTCCAACCGCTGCACCACCAGGGCTCCTCTTTCCAGGTCAGGTCTTTTCAAATATACAGGTGCTCCCCGCCTCCCCTCCCCTCTCCATCCAGCCTCTAAAATACACGTGCGCACTGTGCCTGTCTTATTCTCTCCCCTCCCGCTCCCACCACCGTTTTTTATATATACATGCCTGATGAAATCTGGATATGTTTCTCACCAAGTGTGCCCCAGTGCCCAAGGAGAGCCATTACCAGACTTCCCTAAAAGGAGTGGGTCTGGTAAACTCAGGATGTGGGATACGGGAAAGAATCTGTGTTGCCTGCAGATTTGGAACACGCAGGTGATCCGAGCAGATCCCAGATCTAGATAGAATCGGCCCTAACCCCGAGGGAGGGGTTAGAGTACCCTTGGACTCAAGAAATAATACCCGCCACCCTGAACAAAGCAAAGAAAGTGCTTCATAAACAAGTGAATGAGCCTAGCCCTAAGGCCTCAACCTTTAAATACACCTTCTATCCAGGGAACGTTAAGGAAAATACCGACTCTCAGGTGTCCTGACCCTGGTTAGAAGAAAGGAGTCCGCATCCCTTTTACAATGAGAAGTAAATACTTAACATCCTTTCTGAGGCCTGAGACCCGTACAGTCACCCATTTTTTTTCTCTCGTAAAAGGGGAAATACACAAACTAAGGACCTCCCTGGCCCGAGTTCCCTCCGCCGCCCTCCGTACTCTTCTCCTAAGTCGTTCCTTTACCTCCTAGCTGAACCGAGTGTCGTAGCATGATTCTTGGAGTCGGCTGTCCCAAGTCGGGGTGGACAGGGCGGCATCACTGAGCTCTCGGCGCCAGGGTGGCAGCAACAGGCCATGGCGGCAGTGAAGAGCAGGCAGGGGACCTACCGTGACTCCAGCCGCAAAGCTGATGCCAGAATAGGCCAGCCTCTCCAGAATCTCCGCGGTGTGCTTCCAGCGCATGCTCTGCTCTCGCTCCCTTCTCCCCACCTCCCCAAGACACCGTGTTTCGGGCTAACCCTTAACAGCAGATCTGCCTCCTTCACCCCGGTACCCAAATCCCTAGCCCACCCTGCTTCTTCTACCTTTTCCCCTCCCCTTGTCAAAGGGGCCTCCACCACCATCATTCGTTCAGCGCATCTTTCTTTCGCCAATCCCTCTCCCTTTCGACCGTTTGTCTTAGCCCACCACTGCATTGCCAAGTCTCCCTGTTGGCGGCCTATTTTCTCTTTTATCCTTAGTAACCTACCCTCCCCCTCTTGGCCTTCCCTGCACGTCTGCAGCCCTACTGGGCCTCTTACTCCTCCTCTCCTGTGCCTGATGTTGCAAATTTAAAAAAAAAAAAAACTTCAAAAATTGCTGTTAAAAAAAAAAAAGTAACTGGCATCTAGTAGAGGCCAGAGATGTTGCTACAATCCTACAATTCACAGACAGCACAAACAGCAAGCAATTACTTGACCCAACACATAAAGTTGAGCTTGAGAAAATCTTCTGTAGATAGCATTTTATTATATGTCTTTTAAAGAAAGAATGTGGCAATCTATATGACAATAAAGCTGCCTCTTAACAAAAACAAAAAAAGTATTATATCCACACAATCATCTCCAAAGCAACTCTCAGGCTAGGCTCAACCAGCCAGTGTTGGGCAAACAGAAGGCTTGATTGATGATGAACTCACTGAGAAGATCCAGAGACAGGGAACCAAAAGAACCCTTCCACAAAGCAAGAAGGGCAAGGATGGATGATCGCTTAGAGGGCAAGAAGCAGTATGCCACCAATATTCAATAACTTTTTCGTACTCTTCACAACCCTGGTATTGTCTGGGTGTTTAAAATAATTTTCAGTTTCTTTCCACTGTTAAATACAAGGTCTGGTCCTGTCTTCTGTGAGAAACTCAAAAATTAATTTTGAGAGAAGTGGCATCATTTACTCAACAGGCTCTGAAATAGATTCCTCTTTGGATATGCAGAGAAAAGAATAGAAAATAATATTTTGTTCCTCTTAATGATGTTTTACTTTGGTGCCTGGTTTTTCTTGCTTTACAAGAAAGCAGTCTGGAAATAATTAAAAACTGAGACCTTCAAGTCCATAAATTCTAAGACCCATAAATTTGTACATCCTCATCCTCTCTAATTAAGTTGCTAAGAATGACAGATTAACAATATAAAGAGGAATAATGGAAGTTTGTATTTTATATAATATACACAAAAAGCTTATCGTTTTATGTTGTTTTATGTTCAATATGCAAAAGACAAAAAAGGACATAAATAGAAATGCATGGATTTGTAGTGGTACCAAGAACCTCTCTGCTAAATCATTTATTATCAAACAAAAGTTAAAATATAAGAAAATAAACATTTCAAATTAAATAAATTTTGTCTAGAATTCTACACTATTGTAACAAGTGCTTTCATCTCTTAGTATTTTCTTTTTTTTCACTAACAGCTTTCAAAACCAAAACCCATTGCCTTTGAGTGGATTCCGACTCATAGCAACCTTATAGGACAGAGTAGGACTGTCCCATAGGGGTTTCAAGACTGTAATCTTTACCCAAGCAGACTGCCACATCTTTATCCCACAGAGCAGCTGGTGGGTTTGAACTTTTGACCTCCTGGTTAGCAGTTGAGGGCTTAACCACTGTGGAACTAGGGCTCCTTGTTGTTGCTGCTGTTGTTAGCTTCCGTCGAGTCCATTCCAACTCTTAGTCTTAATAACATGTCCAAAGTATGTGAGATGTAGTCTTGCCATCCCTGCTTAGGAAAGGATCTAATAGTTTATTTAGTTGGGTTGCTGAATCATGGATTACACAGTGGCCAACAGTATATCAAGTTGTACCAGTCCTGCCTTGCAATACTGTAGAAGAAGGTATCCAAAGACTTGGGGAAATTGGCATGTTAGAGTGGATCTATCAGGTTAGACCCACAGACCCATGCATGGAGTGCCCAGAGGACACACCTTTTACCACGATAGTGGTAGGGGCCGAGAGATGGCACTCAGTTGACAAAGACAAGGTGGGAGTGGTTACTGTAATGGACAGCAGAGTCAAAGCAATAATCAGAATAGTCTGACGCATATGTACTACTTATTCATAAGAGTAAAATAAATAGGAAATCTACAAAATATTTAATCTGTACAAGCAGAAGAATTCTAGGTCAAGTGAATAACAGTCTAACTGGAATTGCCAGAATAGAGAATCATGGCACCTCAATTCCCAAAACTGAGAGAGTTTACAGACCCACAACCACTTGAATAAAGGGGAGATTGGCTACCCTTGAGGAAAGATCCCACTATACTACCAAAAATTTATACTGTTGTTCTTTCTCCCAGCCTTCCACAATGGGATCTCAGCCTTCTACAAGAGTGACTGTGCACTGGGGAAAAGGAAATAATCAGATCTTCGGGGATTGCTAGATATTGGGTCTGAACTGACACCAATTCCAGGAGAGCAAAAACATCACTGTGACCACCAGTAAGAGTAGGGGCACATGGAGGTCAGGTTATTAATGGAGTCTTAACTAATATCCATCTCACAGTAGGTCCATTGGGTCCCTGAACCCATCCTGTAGTGATATCCCCAGTTCCAAAACATAATTGGAATAGATATATGCAACAACTGGCAGAACCCCCACATTGGATCCATGACAAGTGGAGTAAAGCCTGCTTTGGTAGGAAAAGCCAAGTGGAACCCGTTAGAACTGCCACTACCTAGGAAAATAGTAAACCAAAAGCAATACCACATTCCTAGAGGGATTTCAGAGATTACTGCCACCAGCAAGGTCTTGAAAGATGCAGGGTTGGTGATTCCCACCACATCCGCATTCAACTAGCCTATTTGGCCTGTGCAAAAAAAAAAGATGGATCATGGAGAATGACAGTGGATTATCGAAAACTTAACCAGGTGGTGACTCCCATTGCAGCTGCTCTTCCAGATGTAGTTTCATTGTTTGAGCAAATTAATACATCTCATGGTACCTGGTATGCAGCTACTGATCTGGCCAATGCCTTTTTCTCCATATCTGTTTTGAAGGGCCACCAGAAGTAGTTTGCCTTTAGCTGGCAAGGCCAGCAATACACCTTTGGTGTCCTACTTCAGCACTATATCAACTCTGCAGCCCTATGTCATAATTTAATCCGCAGGGACCTTGGTCACCTTTCCCTTCCACGAGATGTCACACTGGTCCATCATATTAATGACATCATGCTGATTAGACCTAGGAAGGAAGAAATGCCACTGACTCTGAACTTATTGGTAAAACATTTGCATGCTTGAGGGTGGGAAATTAATTCAACAAAAATTCAGGCAGCTTCCACTTTAGTGAAATATCTAGGGGTCCAGTGTTGTGAGGCATCTCAAGATATTGGTTCTAAAGTGAAGGATAAGTTATTACATCTGGCCCCTTCTACAACTAAAAAGGAGGCAAAACACCTAGTAGGCCTCTTTGGATTTTGGAGGCAACATATCCCTCATTTGGATGTGTTACTCCAGCCTATTTATCAAGTAACTCAAAAAGCTGCTAATTTTGAGTGGGGTCCAGAACAAGAGAAGACTCTGCAACAGCTTCAGGCCGCAGTGCAAGCAGCTCTGCCACTTGGACCATATGATCTGGCTGATCCAATGGTACCTGAAATGTCAGTGGCAGATGGAAACACTATTTGGAGTCTTTGGCAGACCCATTTTGGTGAACCACAGGGAAGACCCTTAGGATTTTGGAACAAAGCCCTGCCTCTGCAGATAACTACTCTCCTTTTCAGAAAAAGCTTTTGGCTTTTTACTGGGCCTTAGTAGAGACTGAATGCTTAACCATGCGCCACTAAGTCACTATGCGGCCTGAGATGCCCATTGTGAAATGGGTGTCGTCTTACCCACAGAGCTATACAGTTAGACTTGCACAGCAGCACTCCGTCATTAAATAGAAGTGGTATATACAAGATCAGGTCAAAGCAGGACCTGAAAGCACAAGTAAGTTGCATGAGAAAGTGGCCCAAATGCCCATGGTCTCCACTTCTGTGATATTACCTTCCATCACCCAGTCTGCACCTATGGCCTCATGGTGAGTTCCTTATGATCAGTTGACTGAGGGAGAGAAAACTCATGCAAGGTTTACAGATTGTTTTCCACCACATGCAGCCACCACTCAAAAGTGGACAGCATCAGCACCACAGCCCCTTTTGGGACCTCCCTGAAGGACAGTGGTGAAGGGAAATTCTCCCAGTGAGCAAAACTTGGAGCTGTGCACCTGATTGTTCACTTTGCTTGGAAGGAGAAATGGCCAGATGTGCAATTGTATACTGATTCATGGGCTGTGGCCAATGGTTTGCCTGGATGGTCACGGACTTGGAAGGAATATGATTGGAAAATTGGAGAAAAGGAGGTATGGGGAAGCGGTATGTGGATAGGCCCCTCTGAATGGGCCAAAGATGTGAAGATAGTTGTGTCTCATGTGAACGCCCACCTCAGCAGAAAATGATTTTAACAATCAAGTGGATAGGATGACACATTCTATGGAAACCAGTCACCCTCTTTCCCAGCCATTGCACAATGGGCTCATGAGCAAAGTGGCCATGGTGGCAGGGATGGAGGTTATGCATGGGTTCAGCAACATGGACTTCCACTCACCAAGGTTAACTTGGCTACAGCCCCTGATGAGTGCCAGATCTGCCAGCAACAGAGACCAACACTGAGTCCCCAATATGGCATCATTCCTAGAGGTAGTCAGCTCAACCTGGCGGCAGTTTGATTACAGTGGACCACTTCCATCATGGAAAGGGCAGCGTTTTGTTGTTACTAGAACAGACAATCTGGATACCGATTTGCCCTCCCTGCACCCAATGCTTCTGCCAAAGCTACCATCTGCAGACTTACAGAATGCCTCATCCACTGTCATGTTATCCCACACAGCATCGGTTCACATCAAGGGACTCACTTCACTGCAAGTGAAGTGTGGTAATGGGCCCATGTTCATGGATTTCACTGGTCTTACCATGTTCCCCATCACCTTAAAGCAGCTGGTTTGATAGAAAATTGGAATGGTCTTCTTAAGACACAATTATGATGCCAGCTAGGTGGCAATCACCCATGCATCTGTCAGTTTGTTGTACTCTGGGGGCTTACATGTTGCTGTGATGCTGGAAGCTATGCCACCAGTATTCAAGTACCAGCAGGGTCACCCATAGAGGATAGGTTATTCAAATTTACATAAATATTATTCAAATTTACTCACCAACCACTAAGGTCCAAAGATGAAGAAACTGGAGATTTTTAGCAACTTCTGCAGTCTGAAATTGATCGAACATGCAATCAGGATGCATTGATAATTACTGGTGATTGGAATGCTAAAGTTGGAAATAAAGAAGGATTGGTAGCTGGAAAATATGGCCTTTGTGATAGACACAATGCCAGAGATCACATTTGCAAGACCAACAACTACTTATTTGCAAATACCTTTTTTCAACAACATAAACAATGACTATACACATGGACCTCACCAGACAGAATACACAGGAATCAGATTGACTACATCTGTGGAAAGAGATGATGGAAAAGCTCAGTATCATCAGTCAGAACAAGGCCAGGGGCTGACTGTAGAATAGACCATCAATTGCTCATATGCAATTTCAAGTTTAAACTGAAGAAAATGAGAACAAGTCCACGAGAGCCAAAGCATGACCTTGAATACATCCTACCTGAATTTAGAGACCATTTTAAGAACAGATTTGATGCATTGAACACTAATGACCAAAGACCAGACGAGTTGTGGAATCACATCAAGGGCATGAAGAAAGCAAGAGGTCATTAAAAAGACAGGAAAGAAATAAAAGACTAAATGAATGTCAGAAGAGACTCTGAAAATTGCTCTTGAAAGTCGAGTAGCTAAAGCCAATGGAAGAAATGATGAAGTCAAAGAGCTGAACAGAAGGATTCTACAGGGAAATCATTAAACAATGCAGGAAGCATCAAAAGAAGATGGAAAGAATACACAGAGTCACTATACCAAAAGGAATTGGTAGACCTTCAACCATTTCAGGAGGTAGGATATGATCAAGAGCTGATGGTACTGAAGGAAGAAGTCCAAGCTGCACTGAAAGCATTGGCGAAAAACAAGGCTCCAAGAATTGATGGAATACCAGTTGAGATGTTTAAACAAACAGATGCAGCACTGGACGTGCTCACTCATCTGTGCCAAGAAATTCAGAAGACAGCTACCTGACCAACCAATTGGAAGAGATCCGTATTTGTACCCATTCTAATGAAATGTGATCCAACAGAATGAAGAAATAATCAAACAATATCATTAATATCACATGCAAGTAAAATTTTGCTGAAGATCACTCAAAAGCAGCTGCAGCAGTATATTGACAGGGAACTGACAGAAATTCAAGCCAAATTCGGAAGAGGACATGGAACCAGGGATATCATTGCTGATGTCAGATGGATCTTGGCTGAAAGCAAAGAATACCAGAAAGATGTTTACCTGTGTTTTATTGATTATACAAAGGCATTCGACTGTGAGGATCATAAAAAATTATGAATAACATTGCAAAGAATGGGAAATCCAGAACAGTTAATTGTGCTTATGAGGAATGTGTACAAAGAACAAGAGGAATTCGTTCAAACAGAAGGGGATACTGTGTGATTTAAAGTCAGGAAAAGTATGTGTTAGGGTTGTATCCTTTCACTATACTTATTCAATCTGTATGCTGAGCAAATCTGGGAAGATGAACTATATGAAGAAAAAGGCAGCATCGGGATTGGTGGAAGACTCATTAACAACCTGTGATATGCAGATGACACAACCTTGCTTGCTGAAAGTGAAGAAGACTTGAAGCACTTATTGATGAAGATCAAAGACCACAGCCTTGAGTATGGATTACACCTCAAACATAAAGAAAACAAAAATCCTCACAAGTGGACCATTAAGCAACATCATGATAAATGGAGAAAAGATTGAAGTTGTCAAGGATTTCATTTTACTTGGTTCCACAATCAACGCTCATGGAAGCAGCAGTCAAGAAATCAAACAACACATTGCATTGGGCAAATCTGCTGCAAAAGACCTCTTTAAAGTGTTGAAAAGCAAAGATGTCACCTTAAGGACTAAAGTGTGCCTGACCCAAGCCCTGGTGCTTTCAATAGCTCATATGCATTCGAGAGCTGGACAAGGAATAAGAAAGACAGAAGAATTGATGCCTTTGAACTATGGTGTTGGTCAAAGAATATTGAATATACCATGGACTGCTGGAAAAATGAACAAATCTGTCTTAGAATAAGTACAGCCAGAATGCTCCTTAGAAGTGAGGATGGTGAGACTTTATCTCACGTACTTTGGACATGTTGTCAGGAGGGACCAGTCTTTGGAGAAGAACATCATGCTTGGTAAAGTAGAGGGTAAGTGAAAAAGAGGAAAACCCTCACCATGATGGATTGACACAGTGACTGCAACAATAGGCTCAAACATACAATGATTGTGAAGATGGCACAGAACTGGGCAGCATTCATTCTGTTGTATATGACATGGCTATGAGTCAGAACCAACTCAACTGCACCTAAGAACAACAACGATATAAGACTTGAACAACACTGTCAGTGAAATCAACCTAACTGATCTCTATTGAATGCTCCAACCAATAGTGCAGAACACACATTTTTTTCAAGCACTCATGGAACATTCTCCAGTATAGACCATAGACTAGACTATAAAACAAGCCTTAATAAATTTAAAGGGATTGAAACTATAGAAAATATGTTCTCCTATCACACTGAAATGAAATTACAAGTCAACAACAGAAGGAAACTTAGGGGATTCACACATATGTGGAGATTGAACATTACACTCCTAAATAACCAATGGGCCAATAAGAACAATCACAAGGAAAACTAGAAAATACCCTGAGATGAATAAAGAAGAAAACACAACATTCTAAAATTTATGGGATGCAGCAAAACTGTGCTTAGGGAGAAATTTATAGCTGTAAACACCTATATTATAGAAAAGGAAAAATCTTAAATCAATAACTTAACCTTCCCCCTTAAGAAACTGAAAAAAGAATAGCAAACTAAGCTCAAAGCAAGCTGAAGGTGGAAATAATAAAGATTAGAAAGGAAATAAATGAATCAGAGAATAGGTAAACAATAGAGAAATCAATAAAACCAAAAGTTATTTCTTTGAAAATATCAACAAAATTGGAAGACCTTTAGCTAGACTGACCAAGAAAAAGAGAAAAAAGACTCAAATTTCTAAAATCAGTAATAAAAGAGGAAATGTCACTAATGACTTTACAGAAATTAAAGGAATGTATGGGAACACTATGAACAACTGTATACCAACAAATTAGATAATCTAGATTAAATGGAAAAATTTCTACAGAGACATACACTGTCAAAACTTATTCAAGAAAAATTTAAAATCTGAATAGATCTATAAAAAGTAAAGATGAAATATTCTAAACTGTTAAAGGAGAGTTAATACCAAGTCCTTAAAAAATGTAAGAGGTGGGAACAAATCACATCTCATTCTATGAGGTCAGTATCACCTTGATACAAAGTCAGACAGACATCACAAGAAAACAAAACAAAACAAACACACACACACAAAACACTACAGAATAGTAACCCTTTATCACTATAGATGAAAAAATCCTCAACAGAAAACTAGCAAACCAAATCCAGCAGCATATAAAAAGGGTTATACACCTTGACCAAGTGGGATTTATCTCAGGGATGCAAGGTTGGTTGAGCTTACAAAAATTAATCATGTAATACACTATATTAATAGAATAAAGGACAAAAATCACATGATCATCTCAACAGACACAGAAGAATTTGACAAAATACAACACCCTTTCATGATAAAAACATGTAATGAACTAGGAATTGGAGAGAACTTTCTCAACCTGATAAAGGGCATTTATAAAAACCTCACAGCTAACATCTTTCTTAATGGTGAGACTGAAAGCTTTCCCTCTAAGATCAGGAACAAGATAAAAATGCCCACCCTCACTTTTATTCAACAATGTACTGGTGGTTCTCACATAAATCCTTGTGATATTTATATAAAATATAAACAATTTAGAAAATATAACACAGAGGAAATCTGTCCAATATTTAAATGCTTATGGTTATGTAATTCCTTTTATTTTCCAAATAATAACATGATTGAATGGCTTAAATCATGTTGTTTTAAAACCTAAATGGTAGTGATTATGTTGAAAGCTGAAATTTCTGCAATAAAATGGACTAAATTATAAGTAAATCTCCTCACTGGTATTTTACAGATTTTTTTCTATCTTTGTAGAAATAAATTTTAAAATATTTAGAGACTTTATGGACATGTGTATTTTATTTTTTAAAAACAAAAAACAGTTTACTCTAATTTGTCATAATTTGTTTCTTTTGCTTACTGGATTGGGTATATCTCATAATTATTTTCCTAAGTCCATAGAGCATATATAAAAACTGCTCATCTACTAAACCATAAAGAAAGCCTAAGTCGTAATTGTTAGAAATACTACAGGCCACATTTTCTGAACACAAAGAGATTCAAACTCGAATTTAACAATCCAAGTCTTTACAAAATGGGACACTACACTATTCAATTAACTGATTATTGTGCTTTTGGCTTTGTAAGTAGGCAAAAAGTCACACGGGAGGGGTTGCTGGAAAGGCTGTGACACGTGAATGGGGCCGTGCGCACACCTTGTGTGACGTCACTGAGTCCCCTAAAGGAAAAGAGTCACTTCCTTCTAAGCTGCCCTAAGGGGAGTTGTGTCAGAGCCTCCGGGGCAACGGCGGGCCCTCTCACTGGAAGATCTCACTACAGCCATGAGCAGTCAGGAATGCTTCAAGTGTGGACCCTCTGGCCATTGGACTCGGGTATGCCGTAAAAGAGGAGGGGCTCGAGGGCACAGAGGTAGAGGCCGTGGCAGAGGTTATCCGTGCGGTTCCACCACCCTACCTGACATCTGCTACCGCTGCGGTGAGTCCGGTCATCATGCTAAGAACTGTGACCTTCTCGAGGACATCTGCTACAACTGTGGGAAAGGTGGCCACATCGCCAAAGATTGTATCGAGCCTAAGCGAGAGAGAGAACAGTGCTGTTGTTACACCTGCGGCAGACCAGGCCATCTGGCTCGTGATTGTGACCTTCAGAAAGAGCAGAAGTGCTACTGTTGCGGCGAATATGGACACATTCAGAAAGACTGCACCCAAGTCAAGTGTTATCGGTGTGGTGAGACTGGCCATGTGGCCATCAACTGCAGCAAGACAAGCGAGATCAACTGCTACCGCTGTGGCGAGTCCGGGCATCTAGCCCGGGAATGCCCCATTGAGGCTACCGCTTAATTTTTCCTCCTCCCCCCCTCCTTTTTCTGATTGATAACTGTATTATTTTCTCTGAAACCTCTTCACTGACCAAGGGTTAATAGGTGGAGGCTACTCCCAGGCCAGTGAGCTTTAATTATCATGTAAAAGGAGGAAAGGGCTGAAAAAAAATCTAAAAAAAAAAAAAAAGTTATTCACTTGTAGATGTCTTATAATTAATATGATGTTTCCGCATTGCTGGTGAATCAGGTTATTTGAACAGTGTTCTGAGAATTTGGCAATTTCTGGGTTCTTCGGATGTATTTTGATTTAACACTTTTAATTAAGAGCTGGGAATACATCAGCAAACAAATCAGACCAAGTTTGGTAACACAGGCCTACAACATATTAACATATTAACGAGTAAAATACGTAGTGTGTCAGATGAAGGCAAATTGCCAGGGAGAAAAAGAACACCATGTAAGAGGATAAGAAGAGTTGAGGGCAGGGCGGGTGGAAGGAGTGGTAGTCATGGTTCTGTTTTAGATACACAAGGCACCCTGAGAAGGTGACGTTTGCTCAGCGATGCATACAGCAAATAAAACCAATTCTGGAAATGTTTATGACCTTGCAAAAGTAATTTTAACTTTATTATATTGATGGCTTTGAATTATCTGACCTCATTAGCTTCTAAATAACATTGGAAGACATCTATATCTGGCCCTACATAGAGCACATATTTTAATGAAAACAAACCAGAGAAAGATGTACAATATCTGTAAGTAGCTTTGAGAGAGAGAGAACAATGGAAAAAAAATCAATAGCAAATTGTGGACATACAGATGTTGATAGCAAAGTTTTTAGATTTTTTTTTAAATATCCAAAAAAAGTATAAATATTAAGATTAGGCACATTTGGGGACTTCAGTAATTTCAAAAATACACACTTTTACAGATGTGATAATTATATTTATTTTTAGGGGTTTCAGAAAAATGTATTTTCATAGATATGAAACTGAGCTTCATAAGCTGGAATTCATTTTTACAAATCAGATGGGAAAACAGCTAAAGTTCTATAAAAATAGAAAACCATTTTAAAACTATAAATAAAACCCAGGGTGAGGGGGGATAACTATTGTGTCAAGAGAAAATTGAAGTTGTAATGAAAAGTGGTTTAGAAAATAACAATAATGACAATACTACATGTCACACCTAGAATATGATAGGATTTATAGCACAGAGAGTAGTGTAGGGGGTATAATTTTTGGTCCATAAACTCAAATGTTTAAGAAATGTAACTTATAACTGAAGCCACATTCTTTTATGAAGCTATATGTGGATTGCTTCTGTGTAATCCTTCTTTCCCATTTGAAAGATCCCTTTAATTCCTTTTGACTTCTGTGACCCTCTTGGGTTCCTAGAAATTGATTATATTGCTGTCTGTGCTGTTTGGTCAAGATAAACTCAGGCACACTCCCAGCCCCTCCATAAAGCTATCTCAGTCAAATCTTCCAAGACACAATATAAAACTACTACATCACACTGAGCCACACAAATTCTCAGTTCTCATCACTGTGCTGGACTCTGTTTAGGAGAGGAAGAACACAGAGCTCTCCTTTTGAATACTCAAAAACCATTGGAAGTTTCACTTTCCATGCCCTCGGGAGTTTGGCCCACAGTAGAGGAGGGGAAAGGGGCTGTATCCCTTTATTAAGGACACACTCAGCATTTAACTCCTCTTTACCGTTGCTCTCTCTAGGTAATCTTTTCTGGTCTCAGGGGAAAGGAAACCTTATTTTGGCTCATCACTATCCCTGTGCCAGAAGTTACAAAATGGTAGCCCTCTCACTGAACCAGGTCAATAAATATGTTCAGTTTAACCTACACATTGTTTAACAACATTCGTGAATTAGATGTCAACATTTAAAAAGTGGGGTAGTTCACGTAAAAAATACTTATTTTTGTCCTCTCTGGAACAGAAACATTTAGAAGGAAGCAATGGCACACACTCCTGTGCAGAAACTTTGAGCTGGAGGTGAGTAGCATTTTCTCCCTAAATCCTGACTCCCTAAGTCACAGGCTCTTCAATTTACTTAAGCCCCCACTATTCCCCATAAGCCTCACAAAAGTTCCAACCAGCATTACTTTACTCATTTACATAACCTGCCAGGCCCCTATAGGCACTTGAGTTTATAAACCCTGCTCTATGACCTGGGGCAGAGACAACAATATAACATCCACTGCACAAGATTGGTTGAAACTATATATACAGGAAAACACATCAAATTATGTTGACAGAGGCTAAAAAGGCACTTGATAAAATTCAAGCTTCTTCTTCCCGATTTGAAAACAAAATAAAAACAGCAACAACAAAAACTATCTTTCAGAAAATAACTTAAAATAAAGTTAACGGGGCTTCCATTTCTGGGAAGATGGAATAGATGTACTTTGCTCTATTTCTCTCACCAAATACAACAAAAAACCCTGAGCATTGTATATAAAACAAGTGTAAGGCTACGAAAGGTGAAAGAAGAAGGCAGATGAGCTAGGGAGCTCCAGAACAAAGAAACAACACAGTACTGAGTTCCCTGGGTTTTCCTTTTGTCTTGGATATCCCAGACTTGGAGCTGAAGAAGCCAGCAACCTCAAAACTTCAATGAACACAGACATAAAAAGTCCCAACAAAAGCCTGTTCTCTCTAGCCAAAGGATCAGGAAAGAGGCAGCCTAGAATGACAGAAAACATTTTATGCAATAACTGCTCTACTCTAGCCAAATGCCACACGAAAAAATGTGTTCCCAGCTCCACTTATGCCAGCAAAGGTCTACTGGGAAACCTAGACTTACATTCTCATGAGAGTTCAATTGAGCCAGAGACCCCACAGTGCTGTATTAAAAACCATGTTTTCTTTGCCTAGCTTCCTCCTCCACAGTGTTAAAAAATGCTATTTCCTTTGCTGGGCTGCCTCCCGCCCCAACTTTGAATTTGAATCCTGCTTTTGCTTGGGGGTTATATGTAAACCCCATTGTGCCTGCATAGTATGATTTAGAATGTTGCTGACGTAACTTGTATGAACTCCCTACTTGTAAACCCCTTTAAAAGTAACTTGCCTGCCCGCCCGTGTTGAGCAGTCTTGGAGGCGGCAGCTCCAACTGACTTCTTTCCTCATACAATGAAATAAAGTTTCTGTCTTAGTCATCTAGTGCTACTATAACAGAAATACCACAATTGGATGGCCTTAACAAAGAGAAATTTATTTCTTCACAGTAAAGTAGGCTAAAAGTCCAAATTCAGGGTGTCAGCTCCAGGGAAAGGCTTTCTCTCTCTGTCAGCCTTCTCATCAGTGTTCCCCTGGACTAGGAGCTTCTCCACGCAGGGACCCTGGGTCCAAAGGACACACTCTGCTCCTGGCACTGCTTTCTTGGTGGTATGAGGTCCCCCTGTCTCTCTGCTCACCTCTTTTATATCTCAAGAGATTGCCTCAGGATACAATCCAATCTTGTAGATTGAGGCCTGCCTCACTAACACAGCTGTCGCCCATCCTCCCTCATTAACATCATAGAGGCAGGATTTACAACATATAGGAAAATCACACAGTACCAGGAATCATGGCCCAGACAAACTGATACACACATTTTGGGGGGGACATAATTCAATCTATGACAGTTGCCTTTCCTGTTCTCCCACCTCGGTCTCTCGTTTATTGGCCAGTACGAGTCATACTGAACAAGAATCTGGGGTTTCCACCCAGTAACATTTCTGGCTAGCCAGCCAGGAGTCATCTGCTCAGTTCCTGGGGTGGATCAGAAAACAGACCAGCCCTGACATCTGGTGCCACCAGGAAATTTCTCCTGGAAACCTCAGAGCAACCCTAAAAGCCGAACCCCCTGGGACCCAAATGGTGGCTCTGTGAGACATGAAACGCACCTTGGTTGTTTGGCAAGTACCTAAGTAAGGCCTTAGAAGAGTCCCAAGAAGCAGGAGGAATTGATCGCTTAGGGCATAAAAGGCTCAGGTACCTGTGAAGTTGGTGGACAGGGTTAGGCTGTGTGAGTGTGTAAGTGTGTATCCAGAGAATGGGGAACATTCAAGGGATCCCAGAATGTGGCCCACTAAGATGCATCCTTAAGAACTGGGAACAGAGACTTGGACAGACATGGCACTGGCATCATACTTGTCCCTTTCCTACTTTTGCCTCTATAAATATATGCCGAATAAAACCTTTCTTTTTGCTTTACTAAACCTTGTGGTGTTTTCATCCTACGGGAGTTAATGGTGTAGTTGTTGCAGGGCTTTTAAAATCACGAATCCAGTCGACCTCTAGGAGACCTGGACTGTGGAGCAGAAGCTGGCAGAAAGAGAGGCCGTATCTTCTGGACCCAAGCATTCGCACTCCATGTCCCTTCAACACTGAGGGGTGAGTGCTCTCGGAAAATGAGTCTTTGCTTATTCTTTTTGTTCCTTTTCTCATGTTTTCTTAAGTTTTGTTTGGCATATTTGTTTGAAAAACTGGTTTTTTGATTAAGGAGAATCCTTCTTAGATTTTTGTTTGATCATTTGTTTAAGAGTGATATCTAGTAACTCTTGGTGAACTGTAGTTTAGGTCCAGATTTGGACATTTAAAACATTAGAGAGGTGCTTCTATTTTCAAAGAGCTCTGAGCCACTATAAGCCACAAAAATTCAGGCACAGTTTGACCAGTAAAAGCCGTTAGGGTGCTTGCTGGTGCTCATCATGAGTGTTAAAGACTCCTGTGACAGGATAAGGTGGTCATGAAATAGACTAGAGCACTAGGCTGCCTGCCACCTGCAAGCAAACACTGGCGCAATGAAAGCACACATTGGTCTAAGCAAAACATTATCCAAACCCCAAGGTGTTCCTCATTAGGTTTCTTTTTGTGGCTCAGAGAAAACCTGGAAAACAGTGCTCTGTTTTGCCAAATTTGCAGGGAGAAGTGGCAGTTCCTGACCTGTTTTATAAAATTTGCCGGGAGAAGTGGTAGCTCTGTACCTGTTTTATGATACAGTTTATCAATAGAGAATCACAATGTTAAAATTAAAATAGTCAGTAGCTACTTTAAAGTACTTTCCAACTGGAAGAAGTAGTATATTTAAAGTCTAAAATAAGAGACTAGGTCTCTAGCCAGCAGAATGAATTAAGTTCAAAATGAAGGAAACCAAAAGCTTGAACCTTAGAGCTTAACATCTTTGATAAATGAGCGTAGACTTCCCCTCTGCTACCGAGACACTGGTTTGGGATTCATATTTTAAAATGCTATAAACTGGATATACTAGAAGTAACTTGGAATTTCAGTGACCACTTTGGGAAAATGAGTTTTCATTTGTGTTGTCTTTTTTCTTTGGGGAACCTTTTCTTGATGTTCAGGTTTTGTCAGAAGGTCTAATATTCCTCCATCTGAGGCTCTGGCAAGTTAATAAGTTTTATCTAGAGCCTGTTAT